TCTATTATTTCGCCGACTTTAATGAAAGTGTTAATTTAACAAATGAGGCTGCAACGTTGTAATTACCCGTTACTAATTGATAAATATTATATGACCAGTAGGAGACTTGGTTTAGTTGGCTAAATATATCGCAAACACCATGTATTACTTCAGCTTTCCTACTAACACCTAATTATAATAACAATCTGTGTAAAGAACTGGTTTTAAAATTTTCAAGAATCTTAACTGCAAATGTGAAGTGGTGTGGTAATTTACGTTAAACTGTAAGCACTTTATTTTAATAATTCGCCTTGTAGGAGATTTTTGGATTGACAAAATGGGTTAATAAGTAAGGATTTGGATGAGCGAGTAAGGCAAAAACCAGGTTTTTCAAGGTTACTGATTTATAATTCGATTATAGGTCTTTATAGTTTTAGCCGCTTAAGTAGCCTTGAAATGATTATTTCTCCGGATTATGGAAATGATGCATTACATATTTCAAAAATTGCCAAATAAATGCACTCTTACTTACCTAATTAAACCAAAATAGGTGGAGCTAATCTATAATAAAAAACCAACGGTATAAAAACATTGGGTATATTTCAAGTACCATCAAATGTTTGACACTATGAAAACAAATGCAGCAAGCATTGGAATCCTGAATTGTTTATACTGAGGTCTGGAAAGCACACATTTGCTTTAACTACCTTTAGCTACTTTATTTCTCCATTGTAGGTATTGTTTAAAATGTTTCTAAATGTTTTTGAGAAACAAAACTATTTGCCTCAAGGAAATCTACAACAAATTGAAGGGAGGAATTTGTTGGAGTTTTTTTGAACAACCATGCCCATTAGAAAAGAAATTGCTTTTATTGCATCAAAATACGTAATATAATTAATGATTGTTTAAGTAGTTCTTTTTTAATTAACTCTTGTTTCTAATTGCTTTAATTATCTGCTTTAGAAATTAATTTTAAATTAGCTTATCGCAGGTATGGTAAATACAAGTATCTACTCGTAAGTAATTACTACAAATAGTAAATACAAAAAAAGTAGGTTACAAATGTGTAGCACGAAAATTGTATAACAAATTTACTGATTTGAATTCCTAGCATTACACCAATAATACCAACTTTATGTCTTCCTGCTTCTAATATATTGTCCTTCTAGGAAACAGTGGTATTTAGTAATTTTAATTTAATTGTGTAATATTCAAGTACATACCAGACATTTGACCAACTGGAAATTTTAAGTCGACTTGGTCATTCTTACTGACTTTTAAGTACTTGTTTTAAATTTTTGCATCGATAAAAGATTCAAAAGTATTACAGACATACCTTTATTTAATTACTGTTTTTATTAGAACGGTAGATTGCACACTTGTCGCTGTCACACCATTGACCGGTTTTCCCCTCTGAACACTTACCGTGGGAGGTGAAGAATACCTAGTGACTTGCAACTGTGTTGCAAAATTCGTGAAATAAAATTTTGCAATTAGCGTAATTAATGGTTTGCGTTAAAAAGAGCGAAATTAGCATGAATTGAATTTAAATATTATTTAAAGCTTGTATGTACGTTTCCGATGTAAAAACACACAATTTAAGATACTCTTTCAAAAAACTTTTAAAAATATTGCTTAAATAATGATTAAATAAATGTTTATAACTATAATTATGTAAGAATGTTGTTGCAGTGTACTTTAATATCAAAATTGAAACAAGAAGTGTCATAACTTGTCTGTTTTTTGAACAAGGTGTGTTCAATTCGCTTTAATTACTACAGATTCGCTAATTGAAATGTACAAAGATTTTACATACACTACTCAAAACAATTAAAGGAACTATTTTCAAAATTTTTTGGTGATTTTTGAAAGGCCGTATCTCATCGAAAAATAGTCGTATCTAGATTTTTTAAAAACCATTCTAAGGCTTCAGTTTCTAGTTTTGATATTTTTTTAACAAAATTTTTTTTGTGCTACAGTTATCATGCAAGCGCAGGAAATAGCACGAGAAAAAAAAATTGTAACTTTTTTTTGTTTTTGGCCCACGGACTTGGGGATTTTTTTTAGTTAAATCAATAGATTTGTCGGATAGCCTGTTCATTTGGCTTTAATTTGCATTTTTTATATTTTCTTACATTTTGTCGCTGAGATATCTGACTTTTAATGAAAAAGGATCCTTTTGTCTTTGATCATTGATATCTCAGCAACCAATAACCGCACAGAGAATGTAAGAGAAGTTCCAAAAACTGAAATAAATGTCTTACAAGATCCTTTAATGATTTTTTCAAAAACATTTTTTTTTTACTCTAAAACATTGATTTGAAAGAAAGAGACAAAAGTAACTTTCTACATTGTTTTTTTAGTAAATCTACCCTGTATTCACAAATATTGATGGGGAGATTAATGTTTTAAGGTGTTTTTACAGCTTAATGTACATACATACCCTGCATAGCCCTGTAACTTTTTAAAATCGATCAATCACACCGTATTCTCGGACCAATTGTTCAAAGTTTTGCAAAGGAATTAATGAAACAATTGTACAATTGTAATATTGTTTCCGAATATCGTCTAATCTTCGTCAAAATGAGAAAAACAATTTTTTTCAGCTTTTTTTTACAATTTTGCATAAGTTGAAAAAAAAATTTGTGTTTTTTTTCAAAAAGTAATCAGTATTGTTTCTTGAATTTTTTTACAAATTTTCAAAATGAAAATAAAAAAAAAACAATTTTTGTTTACTTTTTTATTTATAGCAAATAACTAATGCAAACTAATGCAAAATTGTAAAAGAAGTCGAAAAAAATTGTTTTTTTTTATTTTGATGAAGATTAAGCAATGTTTAGAAACAATGTGTGCAACTGTTCCTCTAATTCTTTTGCAAAACTAATCTAAATCGGTCTGAGAAAACGGTTTGATGGATCAACTTAAAAAATTACAGGGCAATGGGGGTACATTAAGGTGTAAAACCACCTAAAAACATTAATCTCCCCATCAATATTTGTGAATAATAGATTTACTAAAACAATGCAGAAAGTTACTTTTTTTTTCTTTCTTTCAAGTCAATGTTTTAGAGAAAAAAATTGTTTTTGAAAAAATAATTAAAGGATCTTGTAAGACATTTATTCCAGTTTTTGGAACTACCATTACATTCTCTGTGTGGTAATTGTTTGCTGAGATATCGATGATCAAAGACAAAAGAACCCTTTTTCATTAAAAGTCAGATATCTCAACGACAAAGTGACGAATGAACAGGCTATCCGGCACATCCATTGATTTAACTAAAAAAAATTCCCAAGTCCGTGGACCAAAAACAAAATTATAGGTCTTTATAGTTTTAGCCGCTTAAGTAGCCTTGAGTTGATTATTTCTCCGAATTATGGAAATGATGCATTACATATTTCAAATTACAATTTTTTTTCTCTCGCTATGTACTCCGCTTATATGAAAACTGTTACACAGAAAAATGTTTTGTGGAAAGATCTCAAAACTTGAGCTTAAAGCCTTAGAATGGTTTTTTAAAAATCTAGATACGACTATTTTTCGATACAGCCTTTCAGAAATCATCAAAAAATTTAGGAAATACTTTTGTTCCTTTATTTGTTTTGAGTAGTGTATATTATTTAACATCAACTTTACTCAAAATATTAAGAAACGATAAAAGTTGATGAGAAAATAATAAAAAAATACCTACAAAAATTGTTTCTCGCGAGCAAAACTTTATGAAAAAGTACAAATGAGGAGTGTCATATACAATAAATGATCAAATTTTGTAAAAATGTTTATCTACTTATTTATTTATCTACTTAATTTAATCTTTATAAAGTAGAACAGAATAGATACACAAAACGCACTTCTTTTCTTGGAAGGGAATTTAAAAGGGAAAAAACTTAGATTGTGTATATGTATAGAAAAAGAGCAAATGCAAAATGCAAGATTACCTCTCTACCCTTTAAGGGCACTGTCGAGCATCATAAATTCGCGAGTAAGGTTTAGAATCACTAGAGATAACAATATGATGGCACTTGTAGTCACAGTTTCAATATTCACTGCATCAATTTCATTTTTGAAAACAATGATCAGCAGAAGTAACAAATGTGGTTCCTGATCAAAGTGACTTGGAAATTAAATTGGCAGCATTGATGTTGAGTCAGAAAATGTGAAATGAGAATCACAGGCTTGTTTGGTTCCTCAAAAATAGAATACCTAAGGAACATCTCTGTTTTGATGTAATTTTAATTGTTGTTATTGGTGACCACGATATTATTCTAAAGCTGTAGCGGCTCATATTTGTCTAAAAAAAACTTTGAAGTACTCGTCAAATAAAAAAAAACATTTAAGGTAGGTATGTACATCATTGTTGCTCAGTTATTTATTTGAATCTGAATAAACGTAAGTACCGAGAAAATCGAAAAGAAACTAACTAAAAAATATTTCCGGTAACGGATATTTCAGATTTATGTTGCGTAAATGTTGCAGTACATGTTTCTAGCAAAGTGTCATCGCACAAATAACGTAATTTTTTGCTTTTGGTAATGGAAACCAGGTAGTAAGCCAGTAAACCAGTTTCATTACCAAGACATTAAGATTAGTACTGTACACGATATTTAGTGAAAGATTCTCTTCCTTTATGTCATTTTTTATGGCTATTAAAGCACTCAAAGTCCATCAAGTAGAGTTTTCTTTGTATTATGTGTAAATACAAGATTAGTAAAACCAATTTTATCTCTTTTTCTATTGATCTGTATACTCTCGAGGAGCACTTCAAAACACGATTTGTCCATATATGTTGTAAATATTCAGTTAAATAAAGAATGAATCATCTGTTAAAATTGACCGGACTCCTCGAGAGGTTTTATGAATATGTAACGTGTTTAATAATAAATGTGATTTGTTTGGTTATTAGCAAAACGTTCGCGGGTAATGGTCCTCGTTCTGAGAATGACATTTTATGTATTTACGTAATTTGTCTTTACACAAACAAGTAAGTGATGTTAAAATTGGTAATTAAAATGTGCAAATTTTAGATGAACCAGCTGTGCAAGGTGTGCGGAGAGCCAGCGGCCGGATTCCATTTTGGTGCTTTTACCTGCGAGGGATGCAAGGTTAGTATCGCCTTTTGATTCTACCATATTTATAATTGCTGAGCTTGTCGCTGAATAAAATGACAAATGGCAAACAACGCGAAATTCTTGGTCCAGTTAAGAGCCCGAAATTAACATAATTAAATCATTAACGCTTTGGAGGCTAGCGTATTACACTGTCATCTCCGAGGATTATATTATTTTAATTAGAAACACCGACAAGGTGCTTTAAGTACGTAGGATAATTAAACTACACTCGCTTCTAAAGTTATAAGGATGACAGTAAAATAATGCACTCGAAACAGATGGTGATTTAATTAACAACAATAGGAATCAATGTGCTGTTTGATATTTCGGATTTTTTTGCTGGGGACACTACAACAAAAGAAAAGTAGAAAGCGTAATTAGGTGTAAGAAATTTTGGATACTTCACTAATGAAACTGTACTTAATTCATGTTGCGCGATATGTGTTTTCATTAAACTCTGTCTATGCTTATGATGACTTGCGTTTAGCAATTTTTATATTGTTTCAAAATTTTCTCTTTGTTGATCCTATGAACAATAAGCAGTCTGTTTTGGTGTAATTGCGTTTCGCGAAAATTATAATAAAACATCCAAAACCGGTTACTCACTTTTTGGTCAGATTTTTCCATTGATAAACAAGTAATATAATGGCTAATAATTTCTAACACGCATTTTGTAAAATTATCAAACAGTAGTTAGTTAAATTAATGAACCATTACGAATAATATTTGTAAATTATTAGGTGTAAATTGTTTAATGAAGTATTTTACATAGATAGTCATCGGTTATATTAATGTAAGGATAAAAATTAATGACTCGTTTAAATTTGTAATGATAGTCCAGTCAGAAAACTAATTTTAGAATTTCAGTTATTTTTTTAACAGTTTCTGAAAAAATACATAAATAATAATAATATGCATATAGAGTTAGAGAGCTTTTATAAACAAAGCCATGTCTTATTATTTTTGAAAATATAATAAACATCATTTTTTAAGCCTATGTACATACAGCAGGCAAAACATTGATTAACACATTTTTGTCACAATAATTGTAACCTATTTTGCTTTTTATTATATCCTGCGTTGATTTTACTCCTTTACATTCAGTATCACAAACACGTATTTTGGACGTTTCATTTTTTTGCTGAGAAAATCTTCAGGATAGTTTTTATAAAACACAAATTAGTAATATAAAATATCAAAAGATACAAAATGTTTGTATAGAGAATCAAAAAACATTTTACTAAGTATAAATGTACTGGATCCAATGTTCTTTTTGTCTTTCTAGAATATGATGGTAGATATACATATTGTGTAAAGGATATTCAGTTACGTATTTATTTTTTTGTTGATATGAAATTTAAAAAATCTTTAGGTATATTTTTCTACTATAAAATTAAGGAGTTTAGAAAGGACTTTTTTTTTATAATACAGAGTGGTTATAAATGATTTTCATCTAACCAGCTTTGGAATTTTTTTGCATGTAACTTTATTTGTGCCGCTCTACTTTTTTGAAAGCTCTAGTTCTGTCATTAGTGTCACTTATTAATTAATAATAAATTGTTGTTAATTAAATTTTTATTGTTTCAACTAATTTCCAATACCAATTGATAATAATGTATACTTTGGAAGAAAACAAGTTTATAATTGAAGTCTATTTTTGAAGTGGACGCTTAGTAAACGCCGATTTTTTAATTTTGAATTACAACAAGTAGGTACCCCTATTTTCGTAAAGCGGCATTTTTTTATTTTACATGGAAAATTCACAGCTGGCTAGATGAAAATCATTTATAACCACTCTGTATAATTGATAACAGGAAAAATAACCGATCATAGAATAAGTGTTTCGCAACTAGAGAAAATAAATCGAAAGATACCTAATAAATTAATTAAATTATTCTTTAGAATCTTGATTTATGTTTGCTACATTAGTTTGTCAGATTTAGTAGTCAAAAAATTTTATAAACCGCCAAGTGTTTCTGATAAAAAATACTTTGAATAAATAAAAAAGTTTCTAATTCTAAAGTTTGTGCCTGGGGTGAAAATAGAAGAACAGATGACATGCGACCGATTTGAATTATTATTGTTTACTTTCTTGTTTTAGTTTAATTTCGCTCAATTTTTCTTCAACCACCTATAGGTGCCACAAATGTTGAAAAGCTAATGAAAAACACTACGAAGAAAAATGATTTTAAAAGTTTGTAATTTGTGCCATATGAAGGATTAAAACAATAAATCTATTTGTTTATGTGTTTTTTCTATAAAAACTACCATTTCCTCCACAAATACACGAGTGATTTGCCTAAAGCTCGGCAGCTTTAGCAGCTGTTGCTACACCTGTGAGATGAGCATAGCATCGTGACAGGTATTTTTTTAAGAACATGGCTCAAAAATTTGTTATATATTTCTTCCAATTATAAAATATCGTAAATTTTATTGGTAACAACAATTTTCCGGCAGGTGCAATACAAAATTTGTTTAGCAAGCTTTTTTTACTTGCTTTTGTAGCCTATTTTTAATATTTCTAGACTATAACCACAGATTATAACATAAAATGTAGACTTGTCTTTTAGGATGATTTAAATAACCAAATAAAAGATTTGTCTTGACATTTTATGTCGTGTGGGTTGTTGCGCTAACAGCAAAAAATAAATCTTCTTATATATTTTATAATTTAAAGGATCAACAGTGCAAGGCGGACACTTTCGTTGCTTCTGGCTGTACATAAATAGCTTCATTTGGACGTGGTACTATTAGAGGTATAATCTGTTATATCTACCATTTTTTGCACGAAACTTTTTTAAATACTTATGAATAAACATAAGAAAATGTGGGTAACAACAATAGATTCAACCACCGACGACTGGTAGGTTGTTATTTGTAAATAAATGCTACACAAACGTGTGCCACGTTTTTATTTTGGAATGTGCAAGTTCAATTATAATTGGTAATTCTCCCACATATCAACAATGTATCGTTAATGACCGCTCCCAATTCTCAACCGCTAGATTATAAATTAAGTATGCGGGCGACCACGGAAACAATTATTAATATCCGTGACGCAACCGAATGCCCATAAAGCCATAAACCACGACACTACGTCGACGTCCTGTGGGTTCAAAGGCATCGCAATTAACACTCTTCCTCGTGATTGATTCAACTTTAGGAGGATTACTCAACAACTAACGGCGATACTGATGAAGATATTGTACCATTGGCTTTTCCAATATTTCATGCATGCTCGATGAAAGACTAATAAATTTTAAATAATTAAGAAAATGCTTATTTTGAATTATCAGCATTTTATGTTAATACTTAACTTCAGTTCTGTAAAATATACTTTTGAAGTGGTTTTCAATAAATAATTGAGACAATATTTTCTGTTTTGATTTTTTTTTTGTCCAATCAGTAGATAGATTTCCAGTGATTTCATGCAAAATTAACAAAATGCGAGAAATTTAAACAAGTGATAAGTCAGATTGATGTTTCAAATCACGATGTGAAAATTTCGATTTATATTGTTTCTAGTGGAATTCAATTTAGTATGGACGATACTGTCTTTATCAAAAATTTAATTAAAATTTTAATCATATTTTAGTTTCAATTGGAATGTTTATTGAAAGAAAATTACCTGTGACTTTGGAAATAATAACACGATCATTTGTTTGGAGTTTCCGTAATCACAAGAAAATAAAACAAGACCCAAATATTAATATGCAGATTTTTTTAGAGAAAATATAAATCATTGCTTTATCAGCAGGAAACCAATAACTTGTGTAAGATGGACAGATATTACGCATATTTCAACTTATTAGCAGCAGCGTGAGTCAAACTGTTTCTGTTTATAGTCGGCCCCTGTAAGCGTAATCGTATTATCGAATAAGAACTTGCAGAATATATTAATATTAACAGGGCATTATTTATTGTTTAATCCTGATACACTCTTCGAACTTAATACAATTCTGTTGGTATAAATGTTGATTCAGTCGGACGCGTGGGCTTAATAACAATGTTAAATATTTTGCCATAGATACCAAGTCATTTACATTGTTGCGTATCATATATGAAATCACGAATGTGGAGAAATTGTTTGTAAGCAATAATTAGCAAAACTCGGACTATAATTTGGTAAGTAACTAATCCAGAGTAAAAATAGTGAACGAAAAAGGATATAATACTTTCTTTCATTAACAGCAGATGTAATAAATCACATTGAATTTCCTAGCGTCAGCCGATACAAAAATTTCTTAATGCCACTGGGAAAGCTGTCTTTTGTAAATGAATTATTATCAATAATTACAAGTAATTAAGCATTGGTGTAAAAGTCGCAATTTATAAAACTTGGATACTTTTGACATTTTGAAATGATTTCCTTTACGTCTGATATAGTTAGTATACAGGGTTTTGGTAAAAGTATATTTTAATCCTATATCATTACATTTGCGCGAAAAGTGGCAATATCGTTCGAGGTCAAAAACCTGTGCGATTTGTTTTCGCGCTGTGTGTTAGAAATCTAACGCACAATTCACATTCGAATGTTTTGTATTTTTTCCTTCAACGTATTTTTTTGTATTCATTATAAAAAATAAATTTTTATTCAACGTATTTTTGTATCCATTATAAAAAATAAATCGTTAAAAAAAATATGTTCGAAAGAGAAAAGTTATTTATGGTCGTAGGAAAAATAGTGTACAAAACCTGCAGGAAAGTGCGCAACTTTCCCGCTTCTACGTTTTTTATCACTTTCCGTGCTCGTTATGTAATATATTATTAGATGAATGTGATTTTTTCTGTTATGTCTTATAATAAATATTAATCAATTTATAGTATATACAGGTCAGTCAGTTTTAAAAGTTGCAATCGGCAATATCTTTAGAACTGAAAAAGTTATTGAGATCACTCAAAATCGTTTTGGTAGTTCCTAGGGGGAATCAAAATGACATGGTAAGTGACGCACCTTCACCCACCCTTGAAGCTACAGCCAGCCCAAATTGAAA